AGCTGAGTCAGGGGTCTCCCCACCTCTCCAAAGTGAGCTGGGTTCCATGGGCCCCCCACCCAAAATGACTCCCGTCACAGAGAGAGACAGTTGTTTTGGACGTGGTCACTTACAGACCACCTACTGTGATCTACCAGTGAGCCTAATAGAAATACGTGCACACGGAAGTAAGGCACTGACACTGTTTGCAGTTTGCCAACTTCCCAATTTCTACTTTATTGAGGAACTAAACATAGCATTTATAGGTCTCCTGATGTAAGCGAAGCATATGTGTTGATTGGGTGAAAAGTCCCCTAAGTTTCCTGTGTGTTCTTTCATCCGCATTGATATCTTCCAACAATTGTCACACAAATAAGACTCATTCCCTTTTACGGGGGTTATGTTGGAAGGTGCTTTTTCTTCTGAGTCACCTCGGGTGAGACTCCGAATGAAGGCGCCATCTTAATTATCATTGTTCTGTTAACCTATATCTGATTGTTTACTTAAGAGAGTAAGGAATTTAAAGAGCAAGAGGCAGAGAGAAGCAAAACTATAAAATTGTAATTTTACTGTCTGACAAAGTACAGATTGTCTATCACAATCTATTACAATCCCCCCTTAAATTGCTATATTTTATATTGACCTGTCCCTGTGTCCTTCTAATGTCCTAACAGCCTGGTGGCCCCCCCCTTTTAACTCTTTTAGGTCGCATATAGAGCTCTTAGGTGGCTAGTCCATCCTCAGAGTCCCGATGCGTACTGAGAAGGCCACAATCAGGCACTGTCTTTCCCTGCCTAAAATTGTCTGTTAAGGGGGGGGGAGAGAAAAGAGTTGCTACACTTTTTATGGGTCCAGAATATGATAGTCTGGGGCCACGGTTTGCAAGGGAGTATAAAATTCTCCTCCCTCTCGAGGGAGTTCAGCATCATCATAGTTCATGAAAGTGGGGAAATCTCACTTACCGTCTTCCCAATTAGCTTCTTAATACAAGGGGCCACACAACAGGCGATTACTGCTGCTAGAATGAGTATACCCAGAATGATCACCCCTGATTGTGCTAAAGATTTCTGCCAACCACTCAACCATCCAAACCACTGATCCCAGGGGTGTGTGATGCCTGAGTTTTCCTTAAGCTCGTTTGATAGGTCTTCTAACTTCTTTATGGCCAGGGGGACCTTCCCATTTGGGCCTGTATTGTCTGGAATATATGTACAGCAAGACATAGTCTTGGGTATCATTTTTCAGACCCCACCTTTTTCAGCTAACATCATGTCAAATGTCATACGATTTTGGAATGCCATGGTGGAGGTAGCCTCCAACTGTTCCGCTATCCCCTTTAGGGCATCCCGCGTATCATTTACGAATCGTTGTTGGTTATAGTATATGTAATTTATCCAGTCCACATTCCTATTTATGGTAATGATGGGAATTAGGGATTCAAACCCCCGCGCCTACTTGGTCTCTAGCCTTGAATTCATCTGGCACCCCCCTTGGGACTCCTATTGCATTTATGTAGACATGGGGTCGAAACTCCCTTCTGGGGCATTCTGTTTCTGTCTCATCGTAATGGGGGGGGTCAGGCACCTCCTTGAACATCGGGTGTGAGAGGATATGCAGCAGCATTATGGCCTTGGCAAGGGTACATTCCCCCCTCCACCTCCCTGTCAGTCGGGTTCTGATGTTCTGGTCACCACAGATCCAGAATATATCCCCTAAGGACATAACTTGATTCTGGGTTAAATTCGTCGAGACTGTACTGTAGGTGGCACAGAATCCCTTCGTGAAATTCCCCAGGAATCCCCCCCCCCCCATGATGGGCGTAACATGTGTAGTTACCCGGATATATGGTCAAACCATCTGGGGCCTTTACATCTTCCGTGAGTAGAGAATAACACCTTTTCCATTCTTCACATCGGGATTGGTCTGTGGTGGTGTTAGCATATAGACTTAAGACACATACTTCTGTTGAGTTCGGTAGAGTGAGTGGTACTGTCCCCAGATGTGGTCTAGCATGTCCACATACATAGCAATTGGATTTATTGTGGGAATTTGCATTGTACTTCATCCATTCTAACCACAGATTGGTGTCTGAGAGGCCAGTTTCTACTGCTATGGTGTCTTCGAATGTAGGGTTTGCTATAGCCACCATTTCTCCCAACATTTTGATCTTTGGAATAAGTGGGTTTGGGTGGTGGGAGTGAGATCCCTGGAAGGTTCCCATCGTTTTGATTCATATATATATCCCTTATCCAGAATTTTTCCCATCATTCCCCCATGTGCCCCGCCAACCAGTGTCCCAACCAGTAAAGCCCCTCATCTCCTGGGCTGGGGTTCTCTATGGTGAGGGTGAGTGGCATGTTTCTCCCTGTTGGTTTTTCATATGAACATGTGCCTGTTTTGAGTATAGTCAATCTATCAATAGGCTCTTCCCATTCTTATCTTTACAGTTCAAAGCACTTAGTGGTTTTATACCCCCAGTCAGGCCCCGTATTCCATCTTCCAAGCCCCAGTATCCGCAATTGTCTCCCCAATAGTCATCCGTCAAACATATATATATATCCTACTGGAGTGTTGGGGACGGTCCCGATACATAGTACACTCCGCCACCAAGGTTGTTTCGGACAAGACACTATGTAGCAGAAATCAAAGGTGAAAATGGCCACACGGGTGTTGGAAGAATTATACCAAAATGTTATCAATCCACCCTGTTTGGGTGTCCCACCTTCCCTTGTGATTGCCACTCTTTGTCCCCCCTACCCATTCCCCAGAGCACATATGAAAGGATATATGTGTATACACTCATGTTCCTAGTTGTTGTCTCCTGGGGGCTTGGCTTTCTGGGCAGGGAGAGGCGTGGATCCAGGTATTCTTTCCTTATAGCTTCACTGAGATGGCAGTCACAGGGGGGAGCACTTGGGGGGGGGCCATCATATCTGGGCTCCAGTGGATGTTTTTTGTGGGGAAATTTCTTGACCGGGACCCAATCTTGGGGTTGCAAAGTATGGGTTCCAGTGTCCGCCTCGGGGGTCTGGAATGGAGGAAGAAAACTTGTGCATGGATATTAGTCAATATGCGTGCCAGTGATATCACATACTTTTTCAATGAATCAGACTGCAGTTGTAATTGTTGAGGATAGTAGGTTCCAACTCTAGGGGCGGCCCCAAACAAAATCTCATAGGGAGACAACCCATGGTTCCCCCTTGGTGTGTATCTAACACTGAAAAGAGCAATAGGCAAACTGTCTGGCCAGCCTATGCCTACCTCTTGAGCCATTTTCAACATTCTTGATTTTAAAACCCCATTCAGGCGCTCCACCTTCCCACTACTTTTTGGGGATGATAGGGTGTGTGGAAAGCTAATGTGACCCCCAAAGCCCCCCAGATCTCTTTTGTGACATTGGCTGTAAAGGTCGCCGGTCCCTGATCGCTTTCAACCACCTCGGGCACCCCGTATCTGCAGACCATTTCCGTGAGCAGCTTCTTGGTGGTGATTCTTGCTGTTTGGTTGGTTACTGCGAATGCCTCTGGCCATCTTGAGAACATATCCAATACCACTAGGGCGTATTCAAACCGCCCACTTTTCGGCATTTGAATATGATCTGGATCCTTTGGAATGGATATATCGCCTTGGCAAGATGTTTGTTTGGAGCTTTCTCAGGTCTTCCAGGGTTACATTTGACACACACAACACAAGATTTGCAGTATTTATCCGTATATGTGGTGATTCCTGGGGCCACATAGTATTTGTTGATCAGAGATGTCTTGGAAATTTGCTTTCAATTAATTTTCCTTACCGTGAGTGCCCGCAGTTGGATGCGCAGCAATCCCCCATAAAGCTGTGCGAACTTTGCTGCAACCGTATTGCGCCCTCCGCTTACCGCGACTGCAGCTTAGCTCCACAATTCCTGCACCTCCAACCGGTGTGCAAAGGTTTAGCTCTTTTGAGATGTGGGGAAATGGAGCTCCAGTAATCCAGGAATAAATCAGACGATACTCCCAGGTTAAAGTTGGAATCCACTCTGCCCGGGTCTAACCCCGGACTCCTGTTTTTATTATCTTACAAAACACCCCCGCCACACGGGGCTAAGTCAATCCCCTCCCACAGAGCAATGTATAGGGAGTGTCCATACACGAGAATGTCCATCCTGCTCGGAGTGCAAAGTTCCCTCTTAACCTATACTAAGAACCAGTTAAACCAGTTTTTCTGTCCTCCCCCGTAAGCTCGCTTTGGAAAGCAAGTTTCACATTATTTACATGCTATCAGCTCCCAGCAGTATGTACATTGTCTGTACAAGCATCCCCTAGATTAAACAGTGCCAGTCTGTATCTGAATAGGCCCGATACGATCTTTATTAAAACACATCCATCCAGATACAGTTCAGGTCGGTAGCGGCGGCTTGTAGAGATATACATGAGCCTACACGTGGAGTTCGCACTGCCTGGCACCTGGCCATACGAAGTCCATGTGGTACTATGCTGCTGATATGTGGATACAGGCCCGCGGCAGGCGGCATTCTCATCAAATGCCGTGGTGGCATACACGCCAGTCTATAAGCGCAGATCTGCCATCTCATCCATTACCGAGCTGAGTACTGTAATATATACATTGTAAATGCACATGGCCTAATTGCAGCCTTCAGAGCTTTAATTAAGCCACACGAGAGACATATGAATAACACTAATATATGACAGACAGATTTAAAGGACAACCTGTAATAGAAAATTTCCATGACAGAGAGTTCATTAGCATCTTGGACAGATGTGACGCCCCATGTGCCCATTGCACTGTAGCTGGATATAGGGACCTGGGGAGCAAAACCTTCTTCCCTACCATCCACAGTCCTTTTTCCTGGACTGCTCCTTTCTGTATCCATCCCTTCCTTTCAGCTTCTGAAACATTTTCTTGGGCTTCTTGGAGTTGGGTATCCTTGGGTTGGTGAATCAACACAGGCACCACTTCACCGTGCACCTCTTCATCCTCTTCCTGCTCTCCAACCACAGCTTGTTTAGCAGCCATGTCTGCTAGATGATTCCCTTTGCTTCCATGGTGATCAACTTGGGGGGGGGGGGGGGGGGGGGGGGGGGGGGGGGGGGGGGGGGGGGGGGGGGGGGGGGGGGGGGGGGGGGGGGGGGGGGGGGGGGGGGGGGGGGGGGGGGGGGGGGGGGGGGGGGGGGGGGGGGGGGGGGGGGGGGGGGGGGGGGGGGGGGGGGGGGGGGGGGGGGGGGGGGGGGGGGGGGGGGGGGGGGGGGGGGGGGGGGGGGGGGGGGGGGGGGGGGGGGGGGGGGGGGGGGGGGGGGGGGGGGGGGGGGGGGGGGGGGGGGGGGGGGGGGGGGGGGGGGGGGGGGGGGGGGGGGGGGGGGGGGGGGGGGGGGGGGGGGGGGGGGGGGGGGGGGGGGGGGGGGGGGGGGGGGGGGGGGGGGGGGGGGGGGGGGGGGGGGGGGGGGGGGGGGGGGGGGGGGGGGGGGGGGGGGGGGGGGGGGGGGGGGGGGGGGGGGGGGGGGGGGGGGGGGGGGGGGGGGGGGGGGGGGGGGGGGGGGGGGGGGGGGGGGGGGGGGGGGGGGGGGGGGGGGGGGGGGGGGGGGGGGGGGGGGGGGGGGGGGGGGGGGGGGGGGGGGGGGGGGGGGGGGGGGGGGGGGGGGGGGGGGGGGGGGGGGGGGGGGGGGGGGGGGGGGGGGGGGGGGGGGGGGGGGGGGGGGGGGGGGGGGGGGGGGGGGGGGGGGGGGGGGGGGGGGGGGGGGGGGGGGGGGGGGGGGGGGGGGGGGGGGGGGGGGGGGGGGGGGGGGGGGGGGGGGGGGGGGGGGGGGGGGGGGGGGGGGGGGGGGGGGGGGGGGGGGGGGGGGGGGGGGGGGGGGGGGGGGGGGGGGGGGGGGGGGGGGGGGGGGGGGGGGGGGGGGGGGGGGGGGGGGGGGGGGGGGGGGGGGGGGGGGGGGGGGGGGGGGGGGGGGGGGGGGGGGGGGGGGGGGGGGGGGGGGGGGGGGGGGGGGGGGGGGGGGGGGGGGGGGGGGGGGGGGGGGGGGGGGGGGGGGGGGGGGGGGGGGGGGGGGGGGGGGGGGGGGGGGGGGGGGGGGGGGGGGGGGGGGGGGGGGGGGGGGGGGGGGGGGGGGGGGGGGGGGGGGGGGGGGGGGGGGGGGGGGGGGGGGGGGGGGGGGGGGGGGGGGGGGGGGGGGGGGGGGGGGGGGGGGGGGGGGGGGGGGGGGGGGGGGGGGGGGGGGGGGGGGGGGGGGGGGGGGGGGGGGGGGGGGGGGGGGGGGGGGGGGGGGGGGGGGGGGGGGGGGGGGGGGGGGGGGGGGGGGGGGGGGGGGGGGGGGGGGGGGGGGGGGGGGGGGGGGGGGGGGGGGGGGGGGGGGGGGGGGGGGGGGGGGGGGGGGGGGGGGGGGGGGGGGGGGGGGGGGGGGGGGGGGGGGGGGGGGGGGGGGGGGGGGGGGGGGGGGGGGGGGGGGGGGGGGGGGGGGGGGGGGGGGGGGGGGGGGGGGGGGGGGGGGGGGGGGGGGGGGGGGGGGGGGGGGGGGGGGGGGGGGGGGGGGGGGGGGGGGGGGGGGGGGGGGGGGGGGGGGGGGGGGGGGGGGGGGGGGGGGGGGGGGGGGGGGGGGGGGGGGGGGGGGGGGGGGGGGGGGGGGGGGGGGGGGGGGGGGGGGGGGGGGGGGGGGGGGGGGGGGGGGGGGGGGGGGGGGGGGGGGGGGGGGGGGGGGGGGGGGGGGGGGGGGGGGGGGGGGGGGGGGGGGGGGGGGGGGGGGGGGGGGGGGGGGGGGGGGGGGGGGGGGGGGGGGGGGGGGGGGGGGGGGGGGGGGGGGGGGGGGGGGGGGGGGGGGGGGGGGGGGGGGGGGGGGGGGGGGGGGGGGGGGGGGGGGGGGGGGGGGGGGGGGGGGGGGGGGGGGGGGGGGGGGGGGGGGGGGGGGGGGGGGGGGGGGGGGGGGGGGGGGGGGGGGGGGGGGGGGGGGGGGGGGGGGGGGGGGGGGGGGGGGGGGGGGGGGGGGGGGGGGGGGGGGGGGGGGGGGGGGGGGGGGGGGGGGGGGGGGGGGGGGGGGGGGGGGGGGGGGGGGGGGGGGGGGGGGGGGGGGGGGGGGGGGGGGGGGGGGGGGGGGGGGGGGGGGGGGGGGGGGGGGGGGGGGGGGGGGGGGGGGGGGGGGGGGGGGGGGGGGGGGGGGGGGGGGGGGGGGGGGGGGGGGGGGGGGGGGGGGGGGGGGGGGGGGGGGGGGGGGGGGGGGGGGGGGGGGGGGGGGGGGGGGGGGGGGGGGGGGGGGGGGGGGGGGGGGGGGGGGGGGGGGGGGGGGGGGGGGGGGGGGGGGGGGGGGGGGGGGGGGGGGGGGGGGGGGGGGGGGGGGGGGGGGGGGGGGGGGGGGGGGGGGGGGGGGGGGGGGGGGGGGGGGGGGGGGGGGGGGGGGGGGGGGGGGGGGGGGGGGGGGGGGGGGGGGGGGGGGGGGGGGGGGGGGGGGGGGGGGGGGGGGGGGGGGGGGGGGGGGGGGGGGGGGGGGGGGGGGGGGGGGGGGGGGGGGGGGGGGGGGGGGGGGGGGGGGGGGGGGGGGGGGGGGGGGGGGGGGGGGGGGGGGGGGGGGGGGGGGGGGGGGGGGGGGGGGGGGGGGGGGGGGGGGGGGGGGGGGGGGGGGGGGGGGGGGGGGGGGGGGGGGGGGGGGGGGGGGGGGGGGGGGGGGGGGGGGGGGGGGGGGGGGGGGGGGGGGGGGGGGGGGGGGGGGGGGGGGGGGGGGGGGGGGGGGGGGGGGGGGGGGGGGGGGGGGGGGGGGGGGGGGGGGGGGGGGGGGGGGGGGGGGGGGGGGGGGGGGGGGGGGGGGGGGGGGGGGGGGGGGGGGGGGGGGGGGGGGGGGGGGGGGGGGGGGGGGGGGGGGGGGGGGGGGGGGGGGGGGGGGGGGGGGGGGGGGGGGGGGGGGGGGGGGGGGGGGGGGGGGGGGGGGGGGGGGGGGGGGGGGGGGGGGGGGGGGGGGGGGGGGGGGGGGGGGGGGGGGGGGGGGGGGGGGGGGGGGGGGGGGGGGGGGGGGGGGGGGGGGGGGGGGGGGGGGGGGGGGGGGGGGGGGGGGGGGGGGGGGGGGGGGGGGGGGGGGGGGGGGGGGGGGGGGGGGGGGGGGGGGGGGGGGGGGGGGGGGGGGGGGGGGGGGGGGGGGGGGGGGGGGGGGGGGGGGGGGGGGGGGGGGGGGGGGGGGGGGGGGGGGGGGGGGGGGGGGGGGGGGGGGGGGGGGGGGGGGGGGGGGGGGGGGGGGGGGGGGGGGGGGGGGGGGGGGGGGGGGGGGGGGGGGGGGGGGGGGGGGGGGGGGGGGGGGGGGGGGGGGGGGGGGGGGGGGGGGGGGGGGGGGGGGGGGGGGGGGGGGGGGGGGGGGGGGGGGGGGGGGGGGGGGGGGGGGGGGGGGGGGGGGGGGGGGGGGGGGGGGGGGGGGGGGGGGGGGGGGGGGGGGGGGGGGGGGGGGGGGGGGGGGGGGGGGGGGGGGGGGGGGGGGGGGGGGGGGGGGGGGGGGGGGGGGGGGGGGGGGGGGGGGGGGGGGGGGGGGGGGGGGGGGGGGGGGGGGGGGGGGGGGGGGGGGGGGGGGGGGGGGGGGGGGGGGGGGGGGGGGGGGGGGGGGGGGGGGGGGGGGGGGGGGGGGGGGGGGGGGGGGGGGGGGGGGGGGGGGGGGGGGGGGGGGGGGGGGGGGGGGGGGGGGGGGGGGGGGGGGGGGGGGGGGGGGGGGGGGGGGGGGGGGGGGGGGGGGGGGGGGGGGGGGGGGGGGGGGGGGGGGGGGGGGGGGGGGGGGGGGGGGGGGGGGGGGGGGGGGGGGGGGGGGGGGGGGGGGGGGGGGGGGGGGGGGGGGGGGGGGGGGGGGGGGGGGGGGGGGGGGGGGGGGGGGGGGGGGGGGGGGGGGGGGGGGGGGGGGGGGGGGGGGGGGGGGGGGGGGGGGGGGGGGGGGGGGGGGGGGGGGGGGGGGGGGGGGGGGGGGGGGGGGGGGGGGGGGGGGGGGGGGGGGGGGGGGGGGGGGGGGGGGGGGGGGGGGGGGGGGGGGGGGGGGGGGGGGGGGGGGGGGGGGGGGGGGGGGGGGGGGGGGGGGGGGGGGGGGGGGGGGGGGGGGGGGGGGGGGGGGGGGGGGGGGGGGGGGGGGGGGGGGGGGGGGGGGGGGGGGGGGGGGGGGGGGGGGGGGGGGGGGGGGGGGGGGGGGGGGGGGGGGGGGGGGGGGGGGGGGGGGGGGGGGGGGGGGGGGGGGGGGGGGGGGGGGGGGGGGGGGGGGGGGGGGGGGGGGGGGGGGGGGGGGGGGGGGGGGGGGGGGGGGGGGGGGGGGGGGGGGGGGGGGGGGGGGGGGGGGGGGGGGGGGGGGGGGGGGGGGGGGGGGGGGGGGGGGGGGGGGGGGGGGGGGGGGGGGGGGGGGGGGGGGGGGGGGGGGGGGGGGGGGGGGGGGGGGGGGGGGGGGGGGGGGGGGGGGGGGGGGGGGGGGGGGGGGGGGGGGGGGGGGGGGGGGGGGGGGGGGGGGGGGGGGGGGGGGGGGGGGGGGGGGGGGGGGGGGGGGGGGGGGGGGGGGGGGGGGGGGGGGGGGGGGGGGGGGGGGGGGGGGGGGGGGGGGGGGGGGGGGGGGGGGGGGGGGGGGGGGGGGGGGGGGGGGGGGGGGGGGGGGGGGGGGGGGGGGGGGGGGGGGGGGGGGGGGGGGGGGGGGGGGGGGGGGGGGGGGGGGGGGGGGGGGGGGGGGGGGGGGGGGGGGGGGGGGGGGGGGGGGGGGGGGGGGGGGGGGGGGGGGGGGGGGGGGGGGGGGGGGGGGGGGGGGGGGGGGGGGGGGGGGGGGGGGGGGGGGGGGGGGGGGGGGGGGGGGGGGGGGGGGGGGGGGGGGGGGGGGGGGGGGGGGGGGGGGGGGGGGGGGGGGGGGGGGGGGGGGGGGGGGGGGGGGGGGGGGGGGGGGGGGGGGGGGGGGGGGGGGGGGGGGGGGGGGGGGGGGGGGGGGGGGGGGGGGGGGGGGGGGGGGGGGGGGGGGGGGGGGGGGGGGGGGGGGGGGGGGGGGGGGGGGGGGGGGGGGGGGGGGGGGGGGGGGGGGGGGGGGGGGGGGGGGGGGGGGGGGGGGGGGGGGGGGGGGGGGGGGGGGGGGGGGGGGGGGGGGGGGGGGGGGGGGGGGGGGGGGGGGGGGGGGGGGGGGGGGGGGGGGGGGGGGGGGGGGGGGGGGGGGGGGGGGGGGGGGGGGGGGGGGGGGGGGGGGGGGGGGTTTTTTTCCAAACTTTTTTTTTAAAGGGGGTTTACTGACCTTTTTTTTATGGGGGGGGGGGGGTGGTCAGTGGGAGTAGAAAATGCCACAGGCTTGGTGGTCATTGGGTGTAAAAAAAATAATATGATTGTTGTTGGTGGAAGGAATAGGGGGGGGGGGGGGGGGTGGGGTAGGAAGGGGGTTTGGGGGGGGGGGGTGTCCCATCATTGGGGGGTGTGGAAGGAATAGTGTCCCATCATTGGGGGTCAGTGGGAGGGGGTTCCCCCTCATTTTTGGGGGGTGGCACCATTGGTATTTGGGAAAACCCATTATTTTTGTTAGTGGGACCTTAGTGCCCCACCATTGGGGGGGGGAATAGTGGGGTTATTTTTTTGGTATCAGGGGGGGAAATAGTGCCCCATCATTGGTATCAGTTTTTTCATTTTTAGTGTCCCATATTTGTGTCAGGGGTTTTAGTGCCCCATCATTGGGGGGGTGAGAGGAATAGTGCCCCATCATTGGTATCAGTGGGGGAATAGTGCCCCATCATTGGGGGGGGGTTTTTAGTGTTTTTCATTAGTTTTCATTGGTATAGGGGGGAGGGGGGGGGTTTTTTTATTTATCAGGGGGGGGGGGAGGAATAGGGGGGGAATTAATTTTTTTTTTTCAATGTGGGAGGAATAGTTTTTTTTTTGGTGTCAGTTGGGGGGGAATTTTTTTTTAATTCCCATTTATTTGGTGTCAGTGGGAGGGGGGGGTGCCCGATCTATGGGGGGGGTTTTTTTGGGGGGTTTTTTAGTTTGCCATCATTGGTTTTTGGAAGGAATAGTTCCCATATAATTGGCACCAGGGTGGATGGAATATTTTCCTCATTATTTGTGGGGGGGGAAGGAATAGTACCCCATTTTTTTTTTTTTTTGGGAGGAATAGTGTTCCATTTTTGTTGTCAGTGGTAGTGCCTTTAGTGGGGGGGACTGATAAAGGCAAAAAAAAAAGGCCCACATCTGGTCTGTCGGCCTTTTTTTTTTTTTTTTTTGGGGTGTGTTAGAGGATGGTTACATTCATTCCCCATGGTTTTTTTTGTGCAAACAGAGTAGCCACCCTCTTTTTCACTCTTGAGATTTTTTAGGGTCTATGGACTATAGGATGTGTAGCGTGCACAGAGTAATTCACGTGACCACAACTGGTGCACACTGCTTTTCACACATCAGAAGTGAGGGGAAATAGGGGGGGTTTGGGAGCTCACAGGACACTACATAGAGACATTTTTTTAATTTCATGAAAAATAAATTTTTTTTTTACATAATGGATACATATGAATTATGTTTTTTTTTTTTTTTTGAGAATATCAATTATTTTTTTTAAAGGTGTTTTTTGTCACTTTTTTTTTTTTTTTTTGTTTAAAATGGATGTGTTTTTGTCAAAAGTGCTGAACAGGGATGTGTCCCTGCCCAGGTTGGTGAACAGAGATATATTTATGTCCAGGACACAGAACAGGAATAGGTCCCTGTCTAAAGTTTTTTTTCTGCATTTTTTTTTTTTTTTTTTTAATGTACTTAACAGTGTGCCGTCCCTCAGATGCTGAACTGAGCATGACCCTCTCCAAGATTTAAGATATGTTTTGTCACTTTTTGAACTGTCCCTGACCAAGGTGCTGAACAGAGATGTGTCCTTGTTTTTTTTTTTGAACTAAGCTATGTCCCTTTTTTTACTAAGATTTGGTGCCACTTCTGAATGTATTAAATACAAACTTTTCCCTAACCAAGGTGCTGAACAGAAATATTTTTTGTTTTTTTTTTTTGGACTAAGCTATTTTTTTCTTTTTTGTGTGAGTGATGTGTTTTTTTTTCTAAGGTGCTTTTGCATGTTGTCCTTATTCAAGGTGCTTAAGAGTGTGATGTCTCTATCCAAGGTGCAAAACTGGGCTATGCCCTTCTCAAAGATACTAAAATGTTTTTTTTTTCAACGTATTTTTTTTTTTTTGCACCGCCCCTTTCCAAGGTGCTGGACTGTGATATGTTTTTTGTTTTTTTTGCTGGACTGTTTATGTCCCTTTTTTTTTTTTTTTTTTTGGACTTTTTGATTTGTCCCTGTCCATTTGCTGGACTGTGATTGTCCCTGTCCAAGGTTTGGACTTTGATTGTCCCTGTCCAAGGTGCTTTTTTTTTTCCCTGTCCAAGGTGCTGGACTTTGTGTCCCTTTTCCAAGGTGCTTTTTTGTGATTGTTTCTGTTTTTTTTTTTGCTGGACTGTGATATGTTTTCCAAGGTGCTTTTTTTTTTTTCCCTGTTTGCTTTTTTGTTTTTTGTCCCTGTCCAAGGTTTTTTTTTTGTGCTTTTTTTTTTTTTTTTTTTGTCCAAGGTGCTGGACTGTTTTTTTTTTTTTTTTTGGACTTTTTTTTTTTTTTTTTTTTTTTTTTTTTTTTTACTAATTCCACGCAGTCCGTCAGAGCTTTTTTTTTCTCTTTTTTTTTTAATTTTTTTTTTTTTTTTTTTTTTTTTTTTTTTTTTATTATATGGTAGCATTTTCACAGCAGATGAAGTCATCTAAGAACAGTCACCATCGGCTAAGGCAGGAACACACAAACATCAGTATTTCTGCAATATATACATATTATGCAATGTAACCCTTTAAGTATTCAGTAGACTGGTGGGAGCATGGTAGGAATAGATGCCTTGCAGATACATCTTGCAGCACCGACCACATCATCCCTCTGCTGCAAACTGAAAGGGGGGAGGGGTGGGAGCAGCTCTAAACCAAAGGCAGCTCAGCCCACGTGGAGAGCAGACAGTAGCCCCTCCCCATCGGGAGCATCAGTCCCTGATCCTTGATCAATCAGGGGAGAGAATGCCGGTTCCTGCCATGTTAGCTGATCTTCCCCGGGTATATAAAGGGCTGGAGAGAGCAGATCCTGCGCTGTGAGCCACACACACTAGAAAGTCTTCCAGCATGAGCTACTCTCTGGACACTATAGGTAGCCCCTCTTATAGGAGGATGGCGGAGATTAGGACCAGCTACAGTCGGACCAGCAGTTCCCCCACCAGCGGTTTCAGATCTCAGAGCTGGTCCCGAAGTACTCCTAGCACCATTTCCTCCTCTTATAAGAAGATCAACCTAGCTGCGCCCAGAGGGTTCAGCTCCAGTGACAGTTTGGACCTGAGTCAGTCCTCCGGCTTCAATGGGGACCTCAAGCAAGTCCGGTCCAGCGAGAAGGAGCAACTGCAGGGACTTAATGACCGCTTTGCCGGCTACATCGAGAAGGTCCATTACCTGGAGCAGCAGAACAAGGAGATCGAGGGAGAGATCCAGGCCCTGAGACACAAGCAGAGCGGCTACAGCCAGCTGGGTGAGATCTATGAACAGGAGTTGAGGGAGTTGAGGACCAACTTGGAGCAAGTCAACCACGAGAAGGCGCAGATCCTCCTAGACTCCGAACACCTGGAAGAAGACCTCCAGAGGCTGAAGGACAGGTATGACGACGAGGCCAGGATCAGGGACGAGACGGAGTCTGCTGTAAGGTCTATGCAGAAGGACATAGATGACACGTCCTTGATAAAGGTGGAGCTGGACAAGAAGGTGCAGTCCTTGCAGGAAGAGATCGCCTTCCTCAAGAACAACCATGAGGAAGAAGTGGGCGAGCTCCTAGCGCAGATCCAGGCCTCACACATCACTGTAGATAGGAAAGATTTCCAGAAAACAGACCTGGCCTCAGCCCTGAGGGAAATCCGCTCCCAGCTGGAGGGCCACTCCAACAGCAACATGATGCAGACAGAGGAAGTCTTTAAAAACAGATATGTAAAGCTGACAGAGGCGGCCGAGCAGAACAAGGAGGCCATCAGGTCTGCCAAAGAGGAGATCGCAGAATACAGAAGGCAGTTACACAGCAAAACTGTGGAGCTGGAGTCTGTCAGGGGTACCAAAGAGTCACTGGAGAGGCAACTGAATGACATAGAGGAGAGACACAACCATGACTTGACCAGTTACCAGGTAAGTGCCCAAGAGTGCTGTAGATGTACGGCAGGAGCTATCCATGAGGTTGAACTGAGCTAAATGATACATTGTAGACTTGTAGATGTAAGACAGGAGATATCCATGGGGCTGAATTGAGCTAAATAATATATTGTAGACTTGTAAATGTAAGGCAGGAGCTATCCATGGGGCTGGATTAAGCTAAATGGTACACTTATAGATGTAAGACAGAAGCTAACCATGGAGTTGAACTGACCTAAGTAACACATTGTAGACTTGTAAATGTAAGGCAGGAGCTATCCATGGAGCTGAAGTGAGCTAAACGAAACATTGTAGACTTCTAGATGTAAGGTAGGAGCTAGCCATGTAGTTGAAGTGAGCTAAATGACACATTGTAGACTTGTAGATGTAAGGTAGGAGCTAGCCATAGAGCTGAACTGAGCTAAGTAACACATTGTAGACTTGGGGAGTATAATGCAGTCCTGTCCAGGGTGCTGAACTTGTCTAAATACTAGGCGTGTGGACACAGTTCATGAGCACTTATGGATGAAAGGCAGGAGCTATCCATGGGGTTGGGCTGAGCTAAATGATACATTTGTAGATGTAAGGCAGAAGCTAACCATGGAGTTGAAATGACATAAGTAACACATTGTAGACTTGTAGATGTAAGGCAGGAGCTATCCATGGGACTGAACTGAGCCAAATGACACAATGTAGACTTGTAAGGCCAGAGCTATCCATGGGACTGAACTGAGCCAAATGACAGAATGTAGACTTGTAAGGCAAGAGCTATCCAGGGGACTGAACTGAGCTAATTGACCATGTAGAATTGTAGATGTAAGGCAGGAGCTATCCATGGAGTTGAACTGAGTTAAATTACACATTGTAGACTTGTAGATGTAAGGCAGGAGCTATCCATGGGACTGAACTAAGCTAAATGACACATTGTAGACTTGTAGATGTAAAGCAGGAGCTATTCATGGAGTTGAACCGACATAAATAACACATTGTAGACTTGTAGATGTAAGGCAGAAGCTAACCATGGAGTTGAACCGACACAAGTAACACATTGTAGACTTGTAGATGTAAGGCAGGAGCTGTCCATGGAGTTGAACCGACACAAGTAACACATTGTAGACTTGTAGATGTAAGGCAGGAGCTGTCCATGGGGCTGAACTGAGCTAAATGTCAATGTAGACTTGGGGGGCATCATGCAGGCGCTGTCCAGGATGCTGAACTGGGCTAAAGGATAGGTGTGTAGACAGTGCATGGTCTATCCTGGTTGCTGAACGGAGCTAGAGGATACATTGTAGACGTGTTAGATGTAGGGCAGGAATGAAATGATACCATGTAGTCTTGTGGATATAATGGCGGGGCTGTCCAGGGTGCTGAACCGAGCTAAACGATACAATGCAATGATAATGGCGGGGCTGTCCAGGGTGTTGAAATGTGCTTAGCAATGCATTGCAGATGTAAGTAGATGAGAACATTTTGTAGGTCATTGTAGAGTGAATTTTCTAAATCCACATTGATCTACTGAGAACATCATCTTCTAGTGCAATAACCTGTTTTATTACTTCAACATACAAAACAATCCCACGTATTAACTTAGCAGCGATCAACAGTGTTTTAATGTTTCTCTTCTAGGCAGCCAGGCACAGGAGAAATTAATGTTAGCTACGATTTTATTGTATTTTTTCTGTATTCTCCTTACAAGAGTGCATATTTAACTTTTGCATGGCATCGTGTAGAGTTCAGTATATTTGCAAAGTGGATGTTGCCCCCCTATGTTCGGTTGGCTCAGGATCCCGCACACCCTCCCGTAGGGTGTAGTGTGCAATGTAATGCAGGCAGCCTCTGTGTGTGTATAGGGCGCACTACCATTTGCTGTGTAAGTTCTGCAGTAACACATGCCATCAGTGTTCAGGGGGGTGTGGCTCAGCCTGACTTTGTGCATTTGCGTGACGCAGTGTGGCTGTGTGATGGAGGGGGAGTGGCGCAGTGTGTGGGGCAAGGTGACGCAGTATGACTCTTCCAAAGTGAGGGTGTGGTGCAGTGACAATGCATATACTGTATGGCTGTGCACGGTAGAAGGGGTAGGGGGCGTGCTGCAGTATACTGCTATGGGATAAGACAGCAACGTGCGCTGTTTTGGTGCAGTGAGACAGTTTATGTCATTAAATGTCTAATTTAGGGGGTGTGGCACTGCCTATGTGTGTGGTGCAGTATGACAGCATATCTGTATGGTGCAGTGTGACAGGATGGCCCTGCGAGTCCCGTCAAAGTAATTTCTGCCAGCTGCTTTATGCTTAATCCTCATCATAGGGTCTGTTCCTTCCATAGGAAACCATCCAGCAGCTGGACAATGAGCTGAGAGGAACAAAATGGGAAATGTCCCGACACCTGAGGGAATACCAGGACCTGCTCAATGTCAAGATGGCTCTGGATATAGAAATTGCTGCATACAGGTACCGGGGCAGAGCCAGCAGAATATTAATAGCACTGCAGAGGCTGCAGGGAGCAGCATGATAGGAAAAACTTTCACATCTCAGGGTGTGGGAGGGGAGCATAGAGGATTGTAGCCTATCAGCAAGCAGACAAGCAAAGCAATGCAGAGAAATCCTTACATTTTGTCCCAAACTGAGTATAGCAAACATTTGCAAGATCCTGTATATTACTTGGCACAGTTTCCAGTGGAAATGTCTGGGCAGAAATGATCACAGGAATGATAGTAAGTCAAAACACATTCACAAATCATGGGGACACTGTTTAGAGGGCATTGTAAAGTTCATGTAAAACATTTATCAACATATAAATATACAGAAATAAAAAAAACACCGAGCACATGCAATGTATGACTGGGTATAAAATGACACATTATTACCCAGATTTACATGTGGGACACTAGAGTCAGTAAATGTAGGGATAGATAACTTGAGTGTTCATTTGGTGAAATTAGGGGGATAGATTTACTATAATTAGAGCATTCAGAATCTGGTGCAGTTGTGCATGGGAGCTAATCAGCTTCTAACTTCAACTTGTTCCAGTAAGCTTTGTCAATAAAACATTTTGCAATCTCCAGTTTTAGTAAATAACCACGTATGTGTTCTCATTTGTTTGCAAGTTAAATGTATAAAGTTTTATGGCCAGTACAGCTGAACGTATATTTGTCATTCAAGGACAAATTCATCAGGTTCAAGTTTATAAGCACCACAGTACTAGAAAGGGGAAGTCAAATGCAATACAAACTAAGACACTGAGTCATTTACATAACATTGCTGAGAATGTAATACATTACAAATGGAAAATGTATAGTAAAAATTATAAACAGTATTTTCCTTGCAGGAGTATTATAGATAACAAACACCCTGATGTAATGCAGATGTGACTTTCTGGGTATATTTAATAAAAAAGGACACAAATACCAAACACAATTTATCTATGGATGACTGCACCTTGCATGTCTTTATTGCTACTTGGACTACCTTCCTGAAAATTAGATTAAACAATTTTCCAACATATTAGAACGTGTAACTTTAAGTGGACCTGTCACTCATGTACAATTGTGTGGCCTAAGCAATATTCAGCCAGTCAGTTCATGAAAAACTGATCATATATTTAGTGTCATAAGGCACGTTACCTAGTGCTTGTTATATGACTAAATCTAAGTGAACTGATAGACTGCATTTTCTCAAAACTTAATTCAACCCACAAAATATTGCCCTCCATTTCATACCATTAATTCTAACATTTTAAAAGGATTAGTATGGCACATCGAGTGTAAAGTGACAGCTGCTAATGGGTTTTAGTCCCATGGGATTACTTTGGCAGTGATGTCATAAGACTGCTTTATGCACCCATGCAGTTTAAAAGCACCACATGGGACATGGGAAATACCACATACAGAAACAACCCAATTAGGTCCATGGGCTTCCCTGATCTGTACTGACAATACAACACTGGGAGAAATTTGAAACCGGTAAATACAGATTCTGGTGCAGCGTGCATAGTAACCAATCATCTTCTAGGTTTTATTGTCAAAGCTTAATTGAAAGATCTGACATTAGAAGCTAATTAAATACAATGCACCATCGCACCCGATTCTGTGTGCACCTGTGTTAGTAAATCTACCCCACAGTATGTAATTATTACTGAGCTGGACAACTATGATCTGATCTTTAATTGGTTATTGAATGTTCATTCATAGCAATGCTTTTTGCGCTGTTGTCAACTAATCTTAAATGTATTCAATGGGGAAAATTTACAAAAACTGGATAAGCTGAACACAGGAACCAATTACATATCTTATTTCACCTAAAAATTCAAGAATTTGAAGGAGTTGTGGCTAGTTGAAAAACCTTTATATTACTTTATCTATGTAAGCCTCACCATCTCCAAGAAAGTGTGAAACTGTTACATCAATAAATATCTGTAAGTTTACAAAGCTGATGAAATCCTTGTTCCAATAAATCTACAATTGTCTTTCTAGGAAACTCTTGGAAGGGGAAGAAACCCGCTACAGTTCATTCTGCGGCATTCCATCAGGCCCCTCAGCTCCAGCCAGACAGGCACCTATCACAATATCCTCTACCCGCATACAGACTTCACGAGCTGAGGCACCAAGAGTTAAAGTGCAACACAAATTTGTTGAGGAGATCATTGAAGAGACCAAAGTGGAAGATGAGAGGTCAGACATGGAGGCAGCTTTGGCAGCTATGGCAGAAGAGTTTGCATCTGGTCTTCTAGATGAAGATGAGCAGAAGGAGGATGAAGAAGAGGAAGAAAAAGAGGGAGAAGGAGAAGGAGAGGAAGAGGGTGAAGGTGAGGTGGAGGAGGAGATTGTAGCAGCTGTAGAATCCACAGTACAGGCAGCAGCACCAGGTGAAGAAGAGGAGGAAGAAGCAGAAGAAGAGGGAGAAAAGGCAGAGGAAGAAGCAGAGGAGGAGGGTGAGAAGGGAGAAGAAGAGGGAGAAGAGGAAGGAGAGGAAGGAGAAAAAGAAGAAGAAGAAGCAGCAGAAGAGGAAGGGGAGAAAGAGGAAGAAGCAGAAGAGGGAGAAACAGCAGAGGGGGAGGTAGAAGAAGAGGAGAAGGAAGAAGAAACAGCAGAAGAAGTAGCAGCAGCAGAGGGTGATGAAGAGGAGGGAAAGACAGAAGAGGAAGAGGGTGAAAAGGCAGATGATGAAGGAGACAAAGAGGAGGCAGAAGAAGAGAAAGAGGAGGTAGCAGAAGAAGAAGGTGGTGAGGGAGAAGCAGAGGAAGCTGGAAAGGAGGAAGAGGAGGGTGAGAAAAGGAGGAAGGAGAGGGAGAGCAAGAGGCTGAAGAAGGAGAAGAGGAGGCTACAGAAGATGTACAGGAAGATGAAGTAGTAGAAGAGCCTATTGTTGAGACTAAAATTGTGAGGGTAAAAGCTGCGGTACAGGAGAAAGAAGCAGAGGAGGAAGCAGAGGAGGAGAAAGAGGGTGGAGATGAGGAAGAGGGAGAGAAGGGAGAGGAAGAAACTGAGGAAAAAGCTGGAGATGAGGAGGAAGAAGGAGATGCAGCTGAGAGCTCTGAACAGCAGGAAGAGGAGAAAGGAGAGTCAGAGGAGAAGGAAGAGGAAGCAGAAGGAGAAACCAAAGAAGATGAGGAAACAGGAGAAGACAAAGAGGAAGGTGAAGCAGATGAGGAGAAAGCTGGATCCCCTGCAGAGGAAAGTGTGGAGGAGACCGTCACCGTGTCCAAGGCAGCTTCTGTGGGAACAGAGAAAGGTGATGTAAAGGAACAAGAAACGGAAGCAGAGGAAGCGAGTAGCCCCAGGGATGATGGAAAGGAAGATACAGCAGTGAATGGAGATGTTGAAGAGGAGAAGGAAGAGAGTGAGGACAAAGGTGTAGTTACCAATGGGATAGATGACAGCCCCTCAGACGATAAAGACAGTGGAAAGAGCCAAACTGTTGTAATCACCAAAAAGATTGAAACCACAACCAGCGAGGGTGAGGATGGTACCAAATACATCACCAAGTCAGTGACCGTCACCCAGAAAGTGGAGGAACATGAAGAGACCATCCAGGAAAAGTCAGTGTCCACAAAGAAGGTAGAGAAAGTCACATCACATGCAGTAGTCAAGGAAGTCGCTGAGAATAAGTGAGAACATAGTCATAGCACTTCCAGCAAGCAGCAGGACTGAAAAAGCCATAAGATAAACTGCATGTAACGTGACAGCTTCTAATGGGCTTCTAGCAGATGGGGTTCTCTCGTGGGGTGGGGGCTCCAGACACTGTAATATTACTTTCTGTGCAATATTCGGGGCGGGGAAATGCATGCAAGCCTCAGATGTGCCCCTCCCACACAACTTGGTGAACTCACAATAAAAAAGCAAACAGGTGCATGATTTGCGAAAAGGACAAACAAAGATGAGGGTTTCCTAAGTTGATGTGGGCCTGGGTGAGCGTTAATGATTTGAGGGTCCTCAGCTGAAATATGCAAAGTACTAACTGAGCCAAAAATGGGAGGGAGGGGACCATGAAACGGAAGTTTTCTCGCCTTAATAAATGAAATCTATCCTTATGTTTACCTCACTGGTGCAATTAACAGACTGCAGGTCATGGGAGAACCTGAATGAGTTTAATAGAACTTGCTGACAGTTTATGTAAAAGCAAGCCTTGCTCAATAAAAGGTCATATTGGAACTATTGCATTGTGTCTTATTGTTTAAAAATATTTTCAATGATTTGCAATAAGTACTTCCAAAATAGTTATATTGTGTTTCTAAAGAGGTGGCAAACCAATATTTGTGAGTGTTCATTGTGCTATTTTGTGGAAAGGAAAAGGATTTAGTGGAATCCACTTCATTAGGATGTACTGGTATATTAAGGCTTTGAAGGGCATAATAAATTAGGTGGATATAATATTTAACTCTGATTTCACTCTGCATTGTGAGTTTGCCTCCTTTCCTGGAGGTATCCAGCATCATCTAGCGCTTTCCTCCCCAGCCTGACTGTCCCTGGCCCACCCCTTTCATTCACTGGATTTCAGTTCTTTAATCGTGGAGGCGCAGTTTACATGTGGGTGTTACCTGCGTCATGTGGATGAAATCTGCCTAGGAACCTCCACTCCCCCAGACTGACATCCACTCCTCAGGGCATTTTGATATTTGCATAACTGTTCACAAGAGGCAGCTCATTTTTTGCTTTATGGCTGAAGGCTCTTGAGAGGAGTAATGAGGCAGATGTGGTTATAATGTTTTTAGGAAGCTATGTACAGCACCCTCCCATCCACTCTCACCAGCCATGATCAGCTTGCATTGGATAGAGAAGCACAAAGGCCTAGTGATGACTGGAAATGCATGGAATCTGGCTTTTTTGATTATCTAGTGGTTTTAATATTCTGTTATTCTGATTTCACATGCTACAAGCTTGTTTCAGTTCAGAGACCAGAAAAGTGTTTCAGAACTAAGTTATTTTAAATAAAGTTTGTTTGTGTCTGTCTGAAGACTACTCCAAAAACTATGCCAGCACTGCATGTTCTCTTTTAATAATGTTTATAACTCCTGGTTTTGCACTATCATGCAAATTATTTGTTAATATTACTTTTTATATTGATATAATTAATTTTCCTATGTTGTATCAGTAAATTGTCTTTATTTTTAAGATAAATGAAGACAATTTATTATCAGACAAAACCACTTGTATCTAGATATGTTATGAACCTTGATTCAGTTTTTTTGTTTTTAATAAAAGCAGCAATATTTATACTGTATATCGAGAACTAATATGCATTGGATCCACAGAGTTAGCATGTTACAAAAACAATAGTATGGTACAAGTCAGCCATGGCAGAAAATCAACTTTCTTTAGTCTGATATATGATTGGTTGCTGTGGGTTATGTTTATACTCAGTGATGCTTTTTTCTTAACAGCCATTTCATGGAAAAAAATTCAATATTGGGAAACATTAAAAAATCTACGCAAGTCTCAAAAATAAATAATATGAGGGGCGTTCAAGTCAAACCGGAACTTTTAATTTTACAGGTATAAAAAGGGATGCTAGCGTGGCAATTCTACATGCTGTAGTAAGTGGCAAGAGTTTCCTAATACTAATAGACAGCGCACGTGTCGCAGGTCAGTTCAGGGACCGTTAATCAAGATGGCAGACAACAGTGTTAGTGTCTGCATGGAACAGCGTGTGGTGATGAAGTTTTTTGTAAATGAAGGCATAAAACCCATGGATATCTACAGAAGACTTCAAACACAGTACAGTGATGAGACGCTCAAACACAGTAAGACATTTGAAAGCTGTAGATGTTTCAAAGATGGTCATTTGTCTGTCAGTGACTATTTAGCATGTGGATCCTGGTGTGATCCTGGATAATCGATGCATGACCTGTTGTGAAATTGCACAAGAGACCAATCTTTCTGTGGGAACGGCGAACACAATGACGAAGTGAAACAGGCTGTCCTAGGATGGTATAAATGTAGCAGGGGAGTATGTCGAGAAATAAATGCAGTTTCCACTCCTTGAAATTAGTTATTTTTTTTATATAAACTGAAAAGTCCTGGTTTAACTTGAACGCCCCTCATAAAATAGCATAGTAACACATTTAGAGCCGGCTCACATATACTGTATGCAAATTAGATGTGCATGACAAGTAAAATAACATTGGTTTCTATTGTGCCTATTCACATATATGCGGTGCAAATTGAAAAAAAGTCCTGTCAGTTTTCTGAGCAGTGCGGTTTGGCTAAGGTGCGAATTCAGGCTCATTGACTTCTATAGGAATATTTCTGAATCACACATGTCATCAGCTGTGAACAGAATTAAATCCTGACCTGATCCTGATCTAAACCTGTCTTGAAACTGATCTAAACCTGACCTGAACTGCTGAACAACTACTTTGTCAATCAGCTATAACAAAAGAGCTACAATTCGCACCACACTTGTGTGAATTTGAGACAGCAATTCATGCAATAATCTGAGTGTATTCGTTCATTAGTAGTAAGTATTATGAATAGGTGTGAGCAATATAAACTTCCTTTCTGCGTGATCATTTAACAATTTAAAATTACACATGCCAAGCTTTACTTTAAAATAGCTTTATTACACAAGATCTAGTTGCAAGTAGAACTAATAGTAACCCCACCAATTAGAACAATCTGCCCAGATAGCTGGACAGAGAGTGAAATAAGCGTAATCTGAAAGGTATACATACGCTTGTCATTCAGAACATAGAATGGTACCTGTAGGATTCCTTCTTACAGTGCTATCATTGGCAGATATGACATTGCCTTGCTCAAAATGTATTCAGTTGAGACCAAGCCAGGACCAACAACACCACTATAACCACTGATTGCCGCTATATGTTGTAGGTGATAAAGTGACAGTGATGGATATCACATCACCTTCTCCTACAATAGTACAGGAGTTCGGTTGCCCATAAGTACAGGACGCATGAGAAACTTCTCATTGTATCTGTAATCTCTGTAGTAAAGAAAACACTTTCAAGAAACAACCCTGCCATCTTTGAGCAAGTGCATATTGGAGGAGATAACTAGACAGATGGTGAAGAGAACACCTCCTCTTATGTTGCCTCTTGTAAGGTGCTATCTAGGGCATGATCTTGCACCACAATGGAAATGGTCACTCTTGGCACCATGTTATTCAAAGAACTGTACAAAACAATGTTAGTTATTATGGAAAGATTCCATGCAAACAGATAAATACACGGTCATTATACAATGGGAATTGATTGGTAATGTTCTTTAGTCATTTTTATAACCAAGATATTATTGCCAAACAGCATGTTCAGTTCCTCAACCTCCACTCCAGCAGCCTGCTAATTGGGCATTGGGCACACTGATGAGATATCCTCTCTGTTAATTCTGCTCTCCACTGCAGTGGTTGGTTCCTTCTGCTCTCTTAGACTGAGTGCTGCCATTCAGGGGATAAAATCAAGACAAATTTGGATAATTGCAGTAGTGTCACTTAACATATGCACGACAAAGGAAAAAAAAAAGATTATTGTGCAGGATCACTGCCCAATAATTCGAAAGTATCAGCATATAGAGCCAAGAGCACACATTTCCGAGGTTGAAATGTTCTAAATGTGCCAAAATTCAAGCTATTAAAGATACAGTATTTTTGTT